CCCCACCTCTTTAAAATATGCCATTGTGTTGTGATAAGTCACTGTGTGTTGCCTGCTATGGTTTGACTGTTTGTGATTTTATTGCGTTTTCACAGCAATGTTAATGTTGTGACCCTATGGGCTGGTCCCAAGGGAAATAAAGGTTTAGACAGTTCTTCTTGATCCTTCTAAACGTAGCCTTGTCTCGTTATTGGAAGGAACTGTTATAATCACACTGGGGATTGCTATGCTCTGCATGCTCGCTTGAGCTTGAATCACTTAGCTCTTTTTTAAGAGCTTGTTCCTGACACGCTCTCATTGGAGGAGGGGTCTTCACCACACAGTCCTGGATGCTGGAGGTTCATACAGGGTGGAAGGAAGAGTTCTTTCCCACACAGTCCTGGAGGACAGAAGCTGATCCAGGGTGGAAGGAAGACGGCGAGACTCCAGTCAAGCTACAGCGGTTGCGGAGTCTGCGGTGGTTGTGGTGTCTGCTGCACTGCTTGGAGTCCTCAGGAAGCGCTAGGAGCATCCGTCAACGGAGGGTACTCAGTCGGAGTACAAGGAGCTCCGCTACAATGTGTCTGAGGTGAATCGTGGGAATAAAGATAGTAATGAGAAAAAAAAAATCTACCCTACGGATGATTCCCATGGCAAAAATTGAGCGACCCCAGTAGCGATTGAAGGTCTTTGCGGTTGCAAGAACCCAGTTGGAAGTAATGTTCAATGATTGATAAGGTGCGCTCAATCTTATCCTGGGGAAGGCTAGCTTGCATGTGGATAGAGTCCAATTGGTTCCACAAAATTGCATGCTGGTGTCAGGATCGAAGGTCTTGTGAGGGGAGACCGGGATAGCCAGGGACTTTAAAAAAGAGCCAGTATGTGTGTAAGGTTGCTAAGGAGAAGGGTATTGGTTTCAATCATGAGAAAATTGTCCAGGTAGTGAATAACAGATGGACATCTGCACATATTAAGCAATGACCAACACAAAGTTCTGGCAACCATGTCAAAATTTATTGGGCTGCCTTATGGAGCCAGAAGTGAGTCGTGAGAAAAATGTAATAAAGCCCCTGCCATTTAACTGTCATTCAGATGTCACAGTGAAAGGTGAATGTGAAGCAGCTTAAAAGCATTACCAATGTCTGTTCTACTGAGCCATGCGCCTGTACCAGCCACCAAATAGGCCCAAATGGCATTGTCGATAGTGACATATGTAAGGAAAATCTGTCAGAGGGTATGAGAGTCTTAAGGCTGGGAATGGTGGAGGAATGCGGTGCAGATAAGTCTATGAATAGTCTGATTTAAGTGAAGTGTTCCCCGTGACAACCCCTATGGGATGGTTTCCCAAGATGTGAAAGGTAGGGAACCAAAAATTCCCACAAAACCCTTGATTTTCTTCAGTCTTTATAAGTGTACACACTAACTTTGTGACTGTTAACATGGTTTGCAAATTATTGCCTTCTAGTGTCCCCTTTGGCAAAATTGTACCCAAACCGTGCGGAACCCCTTGGACAACCCTTTGATACATTTAACCAAATGCTGTGAGGGATGGTGTTGTAAAAATGTAGCCAAAATGTGACGTGATGCAGGTGTGGTGATTTTTAGGAAACATTTTTCGGGCACATGGATTTTTGCATGAGCCCGGAAACCAAGAGAACAAACATGTAACAATCTACCTGAACTAAACCCACAATTGCCTGTGAAATCGCACCTGATAAGGTTTGAGTCAGGAAGAGATTCTATGCAGAAATATAGTAACGAGAGGGTGGTAGTAGATACGTGCTGTCACCCATAGATAAGATGTGACGAGTATGTGTGCGTATAATGTTATGTGAGTGGGCCAGATCGTGGGCCCGAACAATAACAGGAAACCTACCAGAACCTATAGATGAGTAATGAAAATATGACAGAGGCAGAAGACGGAATTGTAGTGCTAGTAAAGCCACCGTCCTGAATGACCAAGGCCCTAAAGAAATGTGAGTTGTTAATACCCATTAAAATACAACTTTCAATGAGTACAACCCAAAACCACATAATCAGCCTAATAAGGCCAAGTATATGAGAAAAGTTGTCACAAAATCTTAAGCTTAATTCCTGCAATGAAAACTTGTGGGAACATCATGACAAATTTCAGCTAAAATTAATTTAAACAGCCAAATACAGTATATTCAAATAGCCACAAATAAATCCCTTTAAATGTAAGCTGTAAGAACCATTCTAACCAATGGGGGCATATGACTTAAACCAGGCCAATTGACTGTATTCATGAACCAACATTAAATCAAGCAAATAACTGCCGAAAGGAGGGGGAATGATGTGTACAGAATAATGCTATAATTATAATCGCCCGCCTGTTCCCTAAGATGAAAAATCTCATAACCAGCAATATACTGCCCATGGAGGAGGGAACACCTGTATGGAATAACTGTTTCACTGTTTCATCATTCGTATGTTTAGCCAACATGAAACAATTCGTATGCAAATCGGCTTAAAAGAACCCAAATGAACGTACTGTGTGGTGAACCGACAATGGCTGCATTTGTGAGGTTATGTAGTGAGTGAGCGTGCTAACCAGTTCAGGAAAATAATGAACATAGTCAGAAGGAACAGAAAAGTGAAAAAAATACATGACCCCTTTGATAAATTGTTGATAAGGATGTAGGACCTATTATAGACCCCTTGGGTTATATATACACCTGACTGAAGAACCTTACTACAGACAGCAATACTAATTTAAACATAATCAGTTATTACATGATATTACATAATCAGGCCACCAGGTGGCGACATGATTTTAATCAACCTGATACCTTTTGAAACGAATGGCTGGATTTTAGTCGAACTAAAGGGGAATGAAGGTGCAGCTATTAATAATGCTCTAGTAGAAACGAACAGAATTGCCGAACGTGAATCATGTGAACAGTATTGAAGTGACTAGGCTTGCCAAACACACCCACAAGGTAAACAAACGTACATGTGGTGAGTCTGGTGTGTATGTGGGAGGGGACTGTGCTAGCTGATGCGCGGTGCTTGGAGAACCTTGTGAGAAGGAGGGGGGTGAGCTACTGACCCGGCGGGGAAACTTATTGTACCGATCAGCCTCGTGGACCCCACCAGCTCCCGGCAGCAGGACCTCTGGAATTGCAGCAAGGACCTTTCTCAGGATAAACGCGGAAGTGAAGAACCACGGGTAGAAGAGGAACCAGGACCACGAGGGAAGACAGGTAAGAAAACCAAGATGGCGGTCGGACTGGAAGTGACTCTCCAGACAATCCACGATAAGTTGGGAGTGGATTGTCAGCCCTTTTAAGGGGAAATCAAGCCCCTCCCACAATTACAGGCAAAGCCTTAATAAATATATATAGAAACATAAAATGTGACGGCAGATAAGAACCATTCGGCCCATCTAGTCTGCCCAATTTTCTAAATACTTTCATTAGTCCCTAGCCTTATCTTATAGTTAGGATAACCTTATGCCTATCCCACGCATGCTTAAACTCCTTTACTGTGTTAACCTCTACCACTTCAGCTGGAAGGCTATTCCATGCATCCACTACCCTCTCAGTAAAGTAATACTTCCTGATATTATTTTTAAACCTTTGTCCCTCTAATTTAAGACTATGTCCTCTTGTTGTGGTAGTTTTTCTTCTTTTAAATATAGTCTCCTCCTTTACTGTGTTGATTCCCTTTATATATTTAAATGTTTCTATCATATCCCCCCTGTCTCGTCTTTCCTCCAAGCTATACATGTTAAGATCCTTTAACCTTTCCTGGTAAGTTTTATCCCGCAATCCATGAACCAGTTTAGTAGCCCTTCTCTGAACCCTCTCTAAGGTATCAATATCCTTCTGAAGATACGGTCTCCAGTACTGTGTACAATACTCCAAGTGAGGTCTCACCAGTGTTCTGTACAATGGCATGAGCACTTCCCTCTTTCTACTGCTAATACCTCTCCCTATACAACCAAGCATTCTGCTAGCATTTCCTGCTGCTCTATTACATTGTCTGCCTACCTTTAAGTCATCAGAAATAATCACCCCTAAATCCCTTTCCTCATATGTTGAGGTTAGGACTCTATCAAATATTCTGTACTCTGCCCTTGGGTTTTTACGTCCAAGATGCATTATCTTGCACTTATCCACATTAAATGTCAGTTGCCACAATTCTGACCATTTTTCTAGTTTACCTAAATCATTTGCCATTTGGCTTATCCCTCCTGGAACATCAACCCTGTTACATATCTTAGTATCATCAGCAAAAAGACATACCTTACCATCAAGACCTTCTGCAATATCACTAATAAAAATATTAAAGAGAATGGGTCCAAGTACAGATCCCTGAGGTACCCCACTGGTGACAAGTCCAAGCTTCGAATATATTCCATTAACTACAACCCTCTGTTGCCTGTCACTCAGCCACTGCCTTACCCATTCAACAATATTGGAATCCAAACTTAAAGATTGCAGTTTATTGATAAGCCTTCTATGTGCAACAGTGTCAAAAGCCTTACTGAAATCTAGGTAAGCAATGTCTACTGCACCACCCTGATCTATAATTTTAGTTACCCAATCAAAAAAATCAATAAGATTAGTTTGGTATGATCTCCCTGAAGTAAACCCATGTTGTCTCTGATCTTGAAATCCATGTGTTTTTAGATGTTCATCAATCCTATCCTTTAACATGGTTTCCATCACTTTCCCCACTACTGAAGTAAGGCTTACTGGCCTATAGTTGCCCGACTCCTCCCTATTACCTTTCTTGTAAATGGGCACAACATTTACTAACTTCCAATCTTCTGGGACTACTCCTGTTAACAATGATTGGTTATATAAATCTGTTAATGGTTTTGCTAGTACACCACTAAGCTCTTTTAATAGCTTTGGGTGTATTCCATCAGGTCCCATTGACTTATTTGTCTTTACTTTTGACAGTTGAAATAGAACCTCTGCCTCTGTAAACTCACGTGTAATAAATGACTCATTTATCCTTTTTCTCAACTGAGGTCCCTTTCCTTCATTTTTTTTTTTTTTTTAAAGTAAATTTTATTCGTTTTTTAAATAATGAAGTACATTGACATATGTATGTAACATGTAGACAAAAAACTAATAAATGACAATCAGGTTCAGATACATATATACAGACACCATGTTTCATTTTCTTGCAGTTGAAGGATGCTGTCTACTCTGTGATGTAACAAATTACTCTCCCTTTCTTGATATAACTATATTTACAGCATAATACCATTGTTATCTGCGGTGGACAAATTCACATTCTATTAACCGATTCTGCAACATTAAATAGTTCAGCCAGAGGTGTTACAACATTAAGTGGTGACGTGAGTTTGAATGCGAGTTAGCCTATTTACCTGTGTCAAGATGTCCGTGGTTAATGTGATTTCTTATCTTTGTGTGTGCAGGATGGTTGTGTTTATTTACAGTGTATTCTTTCGCGTAACGTCTCATTTTGTTTTATATTTTGTCCTTGGTTGTTTTGGTTGTTTTGCCCTTTTCCATGAAGGAGATCCATGGGTGCCAAATATGTGTGTGTTTAGTGAGGTTTTTTGACATGGCATGAGTGATCTCCTCCATTTGACTAATGCCCTGTCAGGAACCAGGAACCAGACAGAGACAGATCTAGATGCAAAAACACCTTTATTTAATAAATAACAAAGAAATAACCAAAAGCAAAGTCCAGGAGGCAAGCAGGGGTCAGTCACCAGAGCGGGTAGTCAGACGAGCCAGGATCAGGAGAACGGAGAGCAGCGGAGTCAGGAACAAGGCCAGAGTCAGGAACCAGGAGCAAACAGGAAACACAGGAACAAGGAGACTTCTGGGGAACAGGAAACCATGCAAGGGCAAGGAGGTTCTGGGATTTGCTGCTTAAATAGGCTGAACTGATTAGCAGCAGGGTTGATTACTATTCTCAGGTGAGTAACCGTGGCAACATGCTGAAGGAGCTGATCGTTAATTACAGCTGAAACCTCAGACACTGAAAAAGGAAGGGTGGCTGTTTAAAACAGCAAAGAAACCCTGACATGCCCTCAACCTTTTCAATCCATTCCCTGATAGAGGGGGCTTTCGCCTGTTTCCAATATAATGGTATAATAAGGTTAGCTGCCATAATTAATTGTGCAATTAGTTTATTCTCTTTATTTGTGTTCGGAGCTGGTAAGAGAAAAATCAAATGTTCCGGTGTGAAGGGTATTTTGGCTTTCGTGATGCTTTGTATGAGTGTATGTATTCTGGCCCAGTACCGTTCAATGATGGTGCATTGCCACCAGATGTGTGAGTGGTTAGCTCCCTTCTGGTTACATCTCCAGCATATATCTGTGGTTTCTGGGTACATCTTGCTAAGTTTCGATGGTGTGTAATGCCATCTTGTGATGCGTTTGTAATTGCTTTCTTGGGAGTTTGTGGCTATGGAAGTTTTATGTTTTCTTATAAAAACTTGTTTCCATTGTTCTCCTGTTAAATTGAGGTGTAACTCCTGTGCCCATTTCGCTGAGAAGTCAGGCATGTCTATCTTGTTTAGCGAGTTTATGTTCACTATCATCCTATACATGGTAGAGCAGTTTGCGTTTTAAGGGGTAAGTCGTACATAGGTGTTCAAAAGCTGTAAGCTCCCTATCGTCCACTAGTAGTAAGTGATGTTCTTTTGCAAAGTGTTGGATTTGGGCATAGTGCATTTGTTGTAGAGCTGTGGGGGGGTTTCCCTAGTGTAAGGTCTCATAGCAGGATTTATCTCTTTTTACCTCCCGTAGTGTGACTGGGTAGGTGTTCAGGTACTTTTCGTACAGGTGTTTCGGGAAGCCCATTTGGAGAAGTGGGTTTTGTGTTAGGGGGTACAGTGGTGAGGGGTATGGGGAAATCGGGTTGGTATTATTGAGTTGTTTCCAACATTTTAGAGTGGCCGTTATTGTGGGGTGTTGTTTCTGTTTTAGAAGATTGTTGTTTGTTCTGTGCCACGGGAGGGAGGAGAGTGGTACAGTGGCATTAGTTTGTTCTATATCGCTACCCATTGTTGTGTAGACTGTTTCTTTGTCCATTCATATATCCTAGTCATGTGTACGGCGTAGTGATATGCCTCTATGTCTGGGACTCCCAATCCCACTCTTTCCCTTGATTTTGTTAGGAGTTTGTGTGCTCCCCCTGGTTTTGTTTGTGCCCAAATGAATGTTTGGATGATGCACCTGATTCTGGCAAAGAAGTTTTTCGGTAACTGCACCGGTATGGTTTGCAGCAAATAGAGTAATCGTGGCAACACATTAATTTTAATTATGTTGATTCTACAAAACCAACCGAGGCATGGCTTCTGCCATGTCTGTAGGTCTTTGGTTATGGAGGCCATGAGAGGTGGGAAGTTTATCTCATACAGTTGTCCAATGTGGTGGGGTAGGCATATCCCCAGATATTTAATTGCTTTGGTCGTCCATGTAAAGTGAAAGTTTTGTTGAATATGCCTGTCTGTGTCCTTTGTCGTGTGTAGGGGGAGAATCTCGCATTTTGTTAAGTTAGCTTGGAAGTTTGATATTGCACTGTATGTTTCCATCTCGGCCAGTAAGTGGGGGATTGTGTGAATTGGTTGTGATATCGTGAAGAGTAGGTCGTCAGCGAAGGCGGGAATTTTGTATTCCGCCTCACCGATCGTTATCCCCCTTATTTGCGGGTGGTCTCGTATGCCCTGTACGAATGGCTCTAGAGTTAAAATGAATATCAGCGGTGAAAGTGGACATCCCTGTCTGGTACCATGTCTAATGTGCACTGCCTCTGACAACTTGCCATTTATGCGTAATCGGGCCGTGGGTGAGGAGTATAGTTTTCGATCCATGTCAGCCATCGGTTACCAAAACCCCAGTGCCTCATCGTGGCCTGCATCAGGGCCCAGTTTACTCTATCAAATGCCTTTTCGGCATCTATAGCTAGCAGTACACTTTGGACTTTGTGTGTTTTGGCCCAGTGCATTATGTTTATGATTTTAGTGGTGTTATTTTTCGCCTCCCTCCCCGGCACAAATCCTGCCTGATCTGGGTGTATGAGTTCTGGTAATAATCTGGTCGCCAGTATTTTGGTAAAAAGTTTAAGGTCCACATTCATCAGGGATATTGGTCTGTAGCTCCCACAGTTCGTGGGATCTTTACCTGGCTTTGGTATTAGTGTTATAGTGACATCTAAGGACCCTGGGGGCATGGACTTTGGGTCGCATTTTGAGTTGAATGCATGAACAAAGGGTTCGGCTAGTATCTGTGCCATCACCTTATAGTATTTGCCCGTGAACCCATCTGGGCCTGGGCTTTTGCCTAGGGGTAGCTGTTTGACCACGGAAAGGAATTCCTCCTTTGTTATGGGGCTGTCCAAGAATTCAACTATATTCCATGGTAATGTGTTCTTTATTCTTTTTGAGAGGAAATCGTGTATTTTGTCCTGGGGTGTTGGTGTGTCTCTCAGGTTGTATAGTGAAGTGTAAAATTTGTGAAATGCTGACATTATGTCCGGCATCCTTTGGGTTAGGGAGCCATCAGGGCGTCTTATGTTTGAGATAAATGTTGTTTGTCTCTGTTGTATTAGTGATTGTGCTAGTAGGTGTCCACTTTTTCCCCCTCGAATATGGTATGTGTGTTTAGTTTTGATAAGTGAGTGTTTCGCGTGTAGTTGTAGTATGGTATTTAGTTCTATTCTTTTTGATGTCAGTGCTCTGTATGTCTGTAATGATGTGTCTGCCTGGTGTTTGGTCTCTAGAATTTGAATATCTCGGGTCAGAGATCGTATTCGGGCTTCTCTCAATTTGTTCTGGGCTTTTGCTATCTTAATTATTTCTCCCCTGAGTACACATTTGTGCGCTTCCCAGGTTATTGTTGGTTTTGTGTCTTCCCTTGTGTTTTCTGCCAGGTATTCCCTAACCCGGTCTTTCAGTTTCTCTACCACCTCCTGTTTATTTAGAAGAAGATCGTTCAATTTCCATTGTGGTGGGGCCTTTGGGATGGTGGGGATTGTTAGGTCTAGGGTAAGTGGGGCGTGATCTGACCACATAATCGGGCCATATGTTGCCGATCTTATCAATTCGAGATGTTTGTGTTGGAGAAAGATAATGTTGATTCTAGTGTATGAACCCGACGGAGGGGAATAAAAGGAGTAGTCCCTATCCGTAGGGTGTATTACTCTCCAGCCGTTGTAGAGTCTGGCTTGGTGGAGAATTTCTATTAGACGTCTACGGGTTGGTTCCAAATAGGCAGTGGAGGTGGCTGAAGTGTCTAATATGTTGTCAAGGGATATGTTGAAATCTCCTCCCATTATTAAAATACCCTCTTGAAATGCTGAGAGTTTGTGGATTATTTTTTTTCAGGGCCTGGCTCTGTTTCCTATTGGGAAGGTAAATGTTAGCCATAGTGATCTTGGTGTTGCCCAGTGTCCCTTTGAGGAATATGTATCTCCCTGAGTCGTCCGTTTGTTGTTCCTGAAACTGAAATGGGACCTGCCTCCCTATCAGGATTGCTACCCCCCTAGCCTTTGCTTCCGTGTAGTGGCTATAATATCCTATTGGATATTTGCGGTGCCTTAACGATGGGGCATTATTTTTACGGAAATGGGTTTCCTGAACAAATAAATATGTCTGCTTTATGCCTTTGAAAGTCTGCGAGTGCAAGAGTTCTTTTCTCTGGGATGTTCAATCCCCTGGCATTATGTGTGTGAATTTGAATATTTGCCATGTTTCTATGGTCAGTTATTTAGGTTTTCTTGTGACTAGCTGTGTCGTGTTACTTATTACGTGTGTGGTTCGTGATGTCTGTTGTATGGCTAATGAAGCGTTCGGTAAAGTTAATGAGATAGTAGATGTTACTCTTTGTGTTATTTGTATCTATGTATTTTCACTGATAACTATTGATAATTTGAGAGGTGAAGTCCGTTGAGGGTGGCGCTCCTGCCCAGCCAACCCCTATGTCTGGCGATTACGGCCTGTCACTCCCTCCTCTCCACCTCTCCAATTTGTTTACCCTCGATTAAAGAATCTTGTTCGAACGAACAGTTAAACGATAATTTGGGGAAAAGGTAAACCTTTTGAAGTAATTATCCTGTTTCCGTGCAAGAGTCAGGACACAATCTATTCGGGAGGCTAGCTAAACTAGAGCCCGAGCTTACAATCCTTAAATGTTAAACATATACTTTAAGAGGTCATTATTCATGGGTACGGGGGGGGGGGAGAGGGGAGAATGTGCGGGTAAAAGGGGGGGGAGTATGTGGGGGTAAAAGGGAGGGGGAGGGGAAACAGTTGAGTAGTAACCACAGAAATCATTTCTTGATTATGACATTAAGTACAAGTAGCTGCGGGTATGACAGAGCGTCTGGCTTTTGCATGTAGTAGCTTTATGCTCTCTTATGTGTGAATTGGATCATACAACCTGTGGTTCGCCTCACTCGGTGCCACCGGGGGAACCGGATCTCCTTTTGAGAGCTCTCATCGAGTCAGTCCAGGGCTTTCAAGTGTCTGTTGTGTTATTAAAATAAGCTTTTAAAGTGTCCTTGATCCGATGTGTTTTCCTTTGTGCTTGGGTATTCGAACTAGGATCAGACCGTGTAGTTGGATGTACTTAGCGGCGGTAATGAAGTTGTGGGTTGTAGCTGTATGTGAGATCCCTGTCCTTGTCTCCAAGTAAATTTGTTCCCAGTGTCCCGGGAGGTACTGATGGACCGGCTGGGGGATGAGGAGCATCCTGGCCTGTGATCGCTAGTTTAATGCTCTTTTCTCCTTTACTCCAGCTCTTGCATTGTTATGTGATCGCATATTGAATGAGTCATTGTTTCAAAAAACGATTGTCTATGAGGGACTGGGTGGGGATAGGTAAAGGAAGAGTTGGATGTGACTTGCTGTTGTTGTTAAGCGTTATGTTGCATGTCTCTGCCTTGAGGCCTTGCCGTTTGCCCCTGGGGTGAGAGGAACCGCTGGTCTGCTCTTCGCCTCTTAGCCAGGGTGTTCCATCTCTGTCTTTGTGGTAGTATGGTGGCGTCTTGGTTAGGTTGTGGGACATACCAATCCAAGATATTAGTATCTGGTAATTCTAATGCCTGTAGGAAAGGCCTGACGTCTTGGTGTGTTGCTATGGAGTATGTAGTCCCCTTATTATTGACTATCAGTGTCCATAATTATAGGGGCATCAGTTGGGTCCCCTATTATTCGGTTGAATAGTTCCGTCAATGTGGTCATGATGTCCCCCCCTTGTAATTCTGGGAGTCCCCTGATCCTTAAGTTATTTCTGCGGCTCCTATTATCTAGGTCATCTAGCTGTCTTTGAAAAGCAGATAGTATGTGTGAATGAGCCTCTAGTGTAGAGGAATTATGTGTAATTTGGGCTTGTGTCACGTCCCTTTCCTCTTCAAGGTCTGTGACTTTAAGACTTACTTGCTGTATGTCTGCTCTCACAGCCTCTATTTTGGCCTGGAAGGAAGCCTCCAGTTTTCCAATCATGTTGGCTAGGTCTGCTTTGAATGGCAGATTCCTCAGTAAATCTTTTATCTCCTGGTCATGTAGTGGAGCAGATGTGTAGCATGAGCCGTTCGAGGTTGCTTGGCTTGTTGGTGCAGATTCCGCCGCCATTTTGGGGCCCGCGGTTTCGTCCTCGCGGTCTGCTGAATTTTAAAAAAAGTGGGTGAGTGGTCCTGATTTCGCCCTTGGCGTCTTGTTTGTGGCTCCTTGTGATGATCCCTGTTTTTTGGGGTTACCCATTATGTCTCTTGACCTCTGATTGCTGCGGATTGAATCTTAGGGCTCAGGGAGCTGGATTAGTGCACGTCCATTGAGCTCCGTGGTCGGCCACGCCCCCCCCCCCTTTTCTTCATTTTCATCTGTAAATACAGAACAAAAATATCCATTGAGGCAGTCAGCTAGACCTTTATCCTCTTCTACATACCTTCCTTCTTTTGTTTTTAATCTAACTAATCCTTGTTTTACTTTTCTTTTCTCATTTATGTATCTAAAAATGTTTTATCCCCCTTTTTTACTGACTGTGCTATTTTCTCTTCTGTGTGTGATTTGGAAGCTCTTATAACTTGCTTAGCCTCTTTCTGCCTAATCTTATAGATAATTTTGTCTTCCTCACTCTGGTTTTTTTTATAATTCCTAAATGCTAACTTTTTGTTTTTAACTATTTTGGCCACATCTGCGGAGTACCACAGTGGTTTCTTGAATTTTTTGCTTTTACTGACAAGCCTAATGCAATTTTCTGTTGCCTTCAATAGTGCAACTTTTAAATAATCCCATTTCTCTTGGACTCCATTTAAATTGCTCCAGTCTGATAATGACTCCTCTACCCATATTCTAATTTTAGAAAAGTCTGTTTTTCTAAAGTCTAAAACTTTTGTTTTTGTGTGGTGTGACTCAGTCACTGTTCTTATATTAAACCACACTGACTGATGATCACTGGATCCTAAACTTTCACCTACAGTAATATCTTATACCAAATCTCCATTTGTTAACACTAAATCTAGTATGGCCTCTTTACGAGTTGGCTCCTCAACAACTTGTTTTAGAGACAATCCCAGTAGGGAGTTTAGAATATGTGTGCTCCTGGCACAAGTAGCTAATTTTGTTTTCCAATTTACATCAGGAAGATTAAAGTCACCCATGATGATAACCCATGATTGTCATTTTAGCTATTTCCTCAACTAGTAGATTATCTAATTCTTCAATTTGTCCTGGGGGCCTATAAATCACACCTACACGAGTTACTGTGTGATTACCAAATTCTAACGTAACCCAAACGGACTCTATGCTTGCCTCACTAACTTTTATTAGTCTAGATTTTATGCTATCCTTCACATACAAGGCCACCCCTCCCCCTTTCTTGCCTTCCCTTTCTTTCCTATATAAAGAGTACCCTGGTATTGCTATGTCACAGTCATTCTTCTCATTATACCATGTCTCAGTAACTGTGACTAAATCTACACTATCAGTTGCCATTATTGCCACAAGTTCATGGATCTTATTCCCTAAACTTCAAGCATTTGTAGACATGAACATACAATGTAAGGCGGAGTGTCTTCTGGTTACAAATAATGTCAGGTAAATCCTAAAAGTAGAACAGATAATAACACTTGATAGTGCAATATTGTCTGAATAGTAAATGAAGTGAGGATAAAATATATAGTGACACACTCACAAAATTAGAGCCTGTAATACAAGGCTCAATTATCCAGCGCTGTGGGATTAAGGATCACCACTTCCTTCTTTTAGCTTGTCAGGGGATGGAAAAAATCCAATGTCCTCTCACATATCAGTATAAAGTGATAAAAGTGCTTTAATAGTAAAGTGCACAAATAGAAATAAAAAACAAGACCTTACAGTTTAAGGTAATCTTGTATGAGTAGTCTCTAGCTGCAATACGCGTTTCGCCTCGTCTGGAGGCTTCCTCAGTTGCTCTGGTTGATTGTAGTTCATAATCTGTATTGATATCCAATCTTTTGCGCCCTTTTTTTGCTCTCCTCTCCCTGTTCGCGGCATTTTTGTTTCCGCGTTCCACCGGTGGAACGCATCAATCGAGTCACTTCCGGTTTCGGCTTTTGTGTTCCACTAGTGGAACGCATGCAATATTCCTCCGGTTTTCGTGTGTTTAGATGTAAATCAATTATGGGAAACAGTCCATATGGGTATAGAGGGGCATAAGTAGCATAAATCTCATAGTTCATAAATGTAAAGGACATAAGTATTAAATAGGCATTCCCAACAATCAGATAAAGGACATAAGTATTGGATAAACATTCCAAACATGTAAATCTGACAAGTAACTGTCTGGGGAAGAAAGGGACCCTAATATAAATCAACCTTAAAAATAGGAAGATAGGCAAGTGCTAAATAAAATGTAAATATAATGGTAGGCATGACAATATAAAAGAATAAAAGAAGAAACCTATTAAGACCACATAAAAACTAAATGGTTTTAGTATTGGTACCTTAAAACAATATATTAATATCTTAATTAAAAGTGGCAAACTTCAAAGTCTAAATTTAACCCATAGGGGATGAGGGTTTTAAAAGTGTATATATATTTCATTTCTTCTTTACCTAATAATTTAATGTAATTACCCCCTCTCCAGTCTCTCTTTACTTCTTTAATAGCACAGAAGAATAAATTCTCTGGGTTTTGGTTGTGGACATCTTTAAAATGTTGGGATACGCTGTGAGTCTCCAAGCCATTCCTAATATTCCGTATGTGTTCAGTGATCCTAACTTTTAAAGGTCTAATAGTTCTCCCTACATAGAGTAACTTACAGGGACATTGTAAAATATATACAATGCCCTTGGAATGACACGTAAGATGGTCTTTAATAATGAATGGTTTCTTGATAAGATCTTCTAAATTTTCAAAGTGCCTTTTTGTTTGTTTAGTAATTCTGCATGGAAGACATGTACCACAACCGTAAAATCCTTTAAGATCTTGAATAAAGTGCTTAGGTTTTGTAGGGTTTAAATGACTTTTAACTAAAATATTTTTAAAATTCTTGGCTCCTCTATACGTGATTCTAGGTTTTGTTGGTAAGATTTTGAATAAGATTGGGTCATCTTTTAATAAATGCCAATGTTTATTTGTAATTTTATGTACACGTCTATTTTGTCCATTAAAATCACAAATAAAAGGGACTTCATTGGTGTCCATCTGTGTTGTCTTTGGTTTATATTGTATGAGTTGTTTTCTCTTTAATCTTCCAACTTCTTCTAAATCTTGGTTCAAAGATATTTCATTGTACCCCTTTTCCAAAAATTGCCGTTTAATATAAGTGGCCTGTTCTAAATAATCACTATCTAATTTGCAGTTCCGGCGAATCCTTAGAAATTGACTTTTTGGAGCATTGTGGAGCCAAGGTTTATGATGACAGCTACTAATATGACTCTAAGCTTATCATTTTATTAACACACTTGCTACAGGCACCTTCTTTCCTTGTTTTGGGGGACAATTGGATTGATGTTTTATCTCCCTTTTGCCCCCCTCCTAGTTTAAATACATCCTAGCAAAAACTCTGAACTGCTCACTGAGAACATTTGTTCCCTTTTGAGAAAGATGCAAACCATCTTTTTTGTACAGCTTATCTCCATTCCAAACAGAGCTACCATGAGAAATAAAGCCAAATCCTTGCTCCTGACACCATTCACCAAGCCACAAATTAAAGTCCCTAATACGCATCCGCCTGTCGTTCTGAGTGTTATGCACAGGCAGAACTTCAGAGAATGACAGTGTGGAAGCAACCTGCCGTATATCATTGGCAAAAACACTAAAAACTTCCTTAACCTCTGAAACCTCATTGCAAGCCAAGTCATTTGTCCCTAGATGGACAAGTAGATCCAATTCCCCTTCCTGCTTTGCTTGCTTAACAATATTACAGATATGTCTCCTGTCTCTGTGAGCAGTAGCTCCGGGAAGACACCTCACAAGACCACCATTGTCCATCTTCACACCTCCTATAATGGAATCCCCCAACAACAACTGCTTCCTATTAGGCCTCAACATAGTCTCCAAGCCAGTCTCCACAACACCACTAGCCTCAGTGCCTCTCTCCCCAACACCACTAGCCTCAGTGCCTCTCTCCACAACACCATTACACTCTGAAAGTGCAGAAAATGAATTATGAAGAGCAACAGACTGTGCAACATGCATTTTATCCACAACTCTAAGTCTACCAGATCCTACAGTAATCCATCTGCCATTCCTAGTATGTCTCTGCGGCAGTGGCTTTGCAGCAGTTCCAGTCTGAGTTTGTTCACCAGATAATTTACAAATCTCAGACTTCAAAAATACAATCTCCTGCATTAGACAACAGCCAAACCTTCAAAAAGTGGAATGTGAAACAAATACATAGCAACTATTACACTGAACTAAGTCTGCAATTCCAATGAGGAGAATCATTTAAATCAAACAAATCTTAACTTTTTATTTATCCTCCTCAATACCTCAGGTTACCTCCAGTTTATCTCCAGAATATCTCCAACTACACTAGGAATGTTTAACACCTGGGTAGGCATCTGCTTATTTGCAAACAATAGCTAATTTAAACAGCAATCAATAGCAAGTAATCTAATTAAATACCTTATAATTACCAACAGGAATTCAAACCTTGTGCAATCAGTAACCTTTTCCTACAGATGAATCTTACCTGTAACAGTAGAAAAGAAAGCTCTTAGCACAACTCTTAGACAGTTGAAGCTTCTGTAAAACTCTCCAGAATATCTCCAACTACACACTTAGAAACAGCACTTAGAAGTAGTAACCAAGCTACTATCTCTGTTTTTTTTATATATATATATATATATATATACATATATATTTATATATATATATTTATATATATATATTTATATATATATATATATATATATATATATATATATCTATCATATCCAAATATATTTTTTTAGCTTGGCTAGGTGTTAATAAGTATTTTTGGACAACATGTTGTTCACTTAATAGTATATAAAGCACTTCATATCAATTGTAGCACTTTACATTAAGACAACACTTTGTACCAAAATATGACACTTTGTATTAATAATAGCACTTTAAGAGACAAGTGACGCTCTATCTACACACAAAAAAATAATTCAACTTCACAGTAGCACTTTAAATTCTAAACTTCACTGCAGCACTTTATATTGTTCAATAGCACTTACATTATAATCTGCACTTTTATTGTTATTCGTGCACTTTCTCACAATGTTTATAGTGCTGTTGTCAATTCCCCAGCACTTTTCATTACATACACATATAATTATGTAGTATATTTGTCCCCTATATAGTATTAAAATGTCTATTTTGGCACATAGCACTTTGCACAACACTTAAGAGTTCATCCTTTCTCTAGATATCTTCATTACTTCCCAGACCAAGTTGCACATTATTTACATACCGGCACCTAACTTTTGTTGTGTTTTATTCCCATAGCAATGTTGTATTATTTCTGCGTCACTATGAAAACACATATGACTTCAATAAACTAACAAAAGAACAGAGAGTAGGATGCAATACCTGTTATAAAGAATGGAATACTGAAGGTGTAAAATAATAACTATAATAAGACATAGCTTTTAATAGATTAATTAAAAGTTCTATAAGGACTCAGACAAGAGCAGACTGCAACACATAAATAATACTGTAGACAAAAAGTAACAAAGATACAAACAGCTATAAAAACACAGCTGTAGCTTTTCCACTGATGGCAATAAATTGGTAAATGCCACCTATAAATAGTGTGTCTCAAAAATGATGTGCTTGGATCAAATGCCTGTGATGGTTGTCATAGTAGACCTAGTTCACACCCACATGACATGACTCTAATTTTTGTAAAACATTATTTAGTAGACATGCACAAAAAAGGTCAGAATTACTTTGGATACATTATAGTGCTGAGGTTGCTTGGGCACATGCCCTGTAATTGTGATTAAATAAGATCACACTTCCACCAGCTCAATAGTCCCAAATAGTCTCAGTAATCATAAAAATAGATTAATCGATGTATGTGAAATTGTCACATATTCATCTGCTTATAAAAATGTGATTAATGGAATTTACTGTCCTGACAGGAGGGTTTGTGCTGAATAGCAATTATGCAAATGGCAACCTGGTAACTACCTTTGGGATCCAGAGGAGGGGTATTTAGGCCCAGTTCTCATCCTGCTCAGTGCCCTGTCATGGTTTCCCTTGTGGTTGTCCGAGAGTGCTTTATTGATTCTGGTTATTCTGGTATTTTGACTTTGGCATTGATTTTCACTTCCCTGTTTTCTGGCATCCCTGACCTCTGGCTTTTCCTTATCATTGTATCTCTTTCTGTATCCCTTGACCTCAGCTATTCCTGACTATTCTTTGGTACGTTAGTCCGACCATTCTAAGGTCCGGTATACGTTACCTATCAGTCCTCTGTGTTACACAATTCTACGTGCTGGATCATACTGTAATCCTGACCAATATAGAGTTGATAGTAGTGGTGGAATCAGCTAAGCCCCTTGCCCCTGATGAACATTTCGCTAGATCAGCTCATCAGAGAGGAACCGGACTTCTAATCGAGCCGGTTTATAAAAGAGGAGGCTTAAACCTGATTGGTGCTCGCCAATTTGAATGCACCAATAGTCTGAGCGATATATCAGGAGATTTCTGTAAGAGAAATCCCAATCTGACCTGAACGGGAAGGGGGGGAAACTTACATATGAGAGTACATCTCAAGAAAACCCAAGATGGATGATCAGAAAAATAATTCCGTCGGGTAACTTATGAATGGAATCTAGACAAGGTCCTGGATAGTCTGAAAGAGTGATTTCATAACTACATTACTGAGGGATGACCATCCTGATCTAACCTACCACCTATTTGTTAGGGTGCCATGAGTACTTAAGGGGACACTCCAGTGCCAGGAAAACAAATCATTTTCCTAGCACTGCAGGTCCCCTCTCCCTGCCACCACCCATCCCATTTTGCTGAAGGGGTGAAAACCCTTCAGTGACTTACCTGAGTCCCCCGCCAAAGTCACTCGGTGGTGGTTTCGGGTCCGCCCACGCTCCTCCCCCGACGATGTCATCCGGCGGGGGAGACCGCTAATTTTGTTTTCCAATTTACATCAGGAAGATTAAAGTCACCCATGATGATAACTTCCCCCTTCATTGTCATTTTAGCTAACACTTCAATTTGTCCTGGGGGCCTATAAATCACACCTACACGAGTTACTGTGTGATTACCAAATTCTAACGTAACCCAAACGGACTCTGTTTGCGTCACTAACTTTTATTAGGCTAGATTTTATGCTATCCTTCACATACAAGCGGGGGAGACCTAATGCGCATGCGCGGCAATGCCACGCCCGTGCATTAGACCTCTCCATAGGAAAGCATATGAGGAATTGAGTGACGCTGGAGGTCCTCACATAGCTGTGCTCAAAACCAGGAAGTGCCCTCTAGTGGCTGT